CCCCGACCGAAAGAGGCAACTTCATGTGCTTTGGTGTCCTTTGAAGTAGTGCACTTTTTTCTGAAATAAATCCATTTTCAATGTACGTGCTTTCGTATTTTTTTAAATTACAATTCTGTTTGCTTGTTAGAGTTAATCTATATATCCACGCATCTATGTATCTACATCTATTTTTATTCAGCTGCATATCGGAGTTATTTCAATAAAATTAATCAATGTTCTAAAAACGAGTAACGCAGTACATCATCATGGTTAAGGGTAAGTAATCAGAGCCAAAGTTTTGTTGTACTATGATAACTTCCCTGAACTGACAGGACACAGAACATCTATCTCGTACGTCTACGTGCCGGTGGTACCAGTCACCTGGCATTTTAAACAATGCTATCTAAGGACAATCAAATCTGTACAATTTTTAAACATTTTTTTGCAATGAGTAACAAAGGTGTATAATAATAATTTAAATCTTTGTGTAATAATTAATCATGTGTGTACAATTATTAAACCTTTTTGTGAGAAGTAATTAAGTTTTTACAACTATTAAGCCTTTTTGTGACAAGTAATAAAAGTTTGTGCAATTATTAACCCTTTTTCGGATAAGAAATCATGCTTTTTTGTAATACGTCATGCATGTATTTCGTTGAGAGTGGGGTTCCAGTTCCTAATTGAAAACATTCTTAATTGTTCAGTTTCTTTATTCTCAAACCCATGTCCCTTCGATTAATTTACATTTGTTCTTTATCAACCGTTCTCGTATGGGTTATTTGTAGTTGTTGTCGATTGCGACAATCTCATCTGTTGCAATACATAAAAGACGGATTTGCAGTACAGGTACTTCACGCTTCTGCATTGCTTAATATTTGGTGAGTTCATTTTGATCAGGTAAGAATACCAGACTACCTCCACAAAACCACTGTCTATTCTGTAATCAGCGTCATCATCCACCGTTCATTGTGTACTGATCAGTGTCACGGTAACATGCATATGAATATTAATAACAGGGTCCAATTTCGTTCGCATTGAAATTGCCTCTGGAACTGCCTTGTGGTTATCCAGGCAAGCGTACCGGTCTATCCCCATAAGACAACACTCTGGGAAGAACGCATACTCGACCTGAGGTGTAGTCAAAAGAAATCATTGGCAGTATTTTATCTGAGGGACAGATGGCAAAAACGCATCAAAGAGGAACAGATTGCAGCAGACTCCTGATTCGTGGCCTGAGCTCAAGGTAGGCTCATAGCCTATCAACGTTCAGGCGACAAAAGATGTGTCTCAAGCTTTTTGTTTGTTTGTTTGTTTGTTTGTTTGTTTTTTGTTCCACCTCAACTTTCTATCAAAATACATTTTTTCAATAACAAGAAAACTGAGTGATCAATCTTGCCTGCTGATTCTCTAGATTTGAATCATAAGGAAGAGAGAAGCCAGAACGAGTACACTAGGTTACATAAAGGTCACGCTCAACAAACCAAACTGGTTAATCAATTAAGACACCCGCTTTCGTGACACCTACATGTAGGCCTACGTTAGATACAAAATATGTGATAGAATTGCTCGTGGCACATAGCATTACCTTTAGCGAGTCTGGCATTCTTCGCCAGCCCTTGCTCCCGAGGACTTGACTTTTGCCTAGAATCTATAAATTCACCAGATTCAATGTGGGAAATATCCCATCATTTTTAAAGAGTGTTTTGTATAAATTGATACATTTGGATAGGATCTACTGTACAGTGGTCATTGTTAGGGTGTCTTCGCGGTATTCTCTTCTTAAATAGTCTCTATTTACCCTGTATATCTATATTTTATTCCAGCTTTTGTCATTATCTTGTAATGTCATTGGTGTACAATATACATTTTCCAGATATTTCATTTCAGTGTAACATATATGCTTTTTCTATCTTTCTTTCTCACTATATCATATCATATGTACAAATGTGGATTATGAGTGAGAAATAACCGTAAAACTTTCAAGTTGAACTATGTGTTTTGCCGTGACAGAAACAGTATTCTCGTTCTCATTTATAACGGCCTTTATACAGAAGTCACGCAGGGAGTTGCATATACATCATTGTCATTGTATATTCCGTTTGTTTTAATATATCGCCATCCCCAAAGGGTGCATTTTTACCCCATACACGTACTCATTGACACAATGCAAATATTACATGCTAAAATGCATCTTGCTGCATCACGTCATCTTGATGTTGCACACTGTGCGAGGCGCTCTCTGTGTCTTATACAGGTATTAACACAGGATTACTCTGTCTTAGACCTTGTTATATGATCCTGAATCCACGACATTAAATGGTTCAACTTAGTAAATAAAATGTTACTATCACCATGTCTGCAGTCTGTGCTCATGCTGTGCGCAGCGACACCTGGAGTGAAAATTATGTTTTAGAAGAAAAACTCCATATTTAAAAAGGAAATTTTAATTTGAACTTTTGTGTATTCAAAGGCCGCAGTCTTATCGTACAACGTCACGTCAAAGTTGTGGCGTGCAATATTTCTCTATGAACTCTGTTTCTCTATAAACGGAATAAATGCTAGTTTTTCTAATTAAAAATGTTAATTCGCACCAAAGATTGGGGATATGGTAAGATTCCATTTCACTACACAGAGCCATTCATATTTATCATACTGGGTATAAAACTTATTTGTGAAAAAGTAAAATGAAAATCCTTACCGATTTGTATCCAGATTTCCTCTCTGGATTCCTTCTTCATGAGCCTCCTGAACAGAGCTCCATCACCTCGCTGATGACAGCCACTCTTTACTGCACTGGTAGAATTAAAGGCAACTGGGTATGGAAATAAAAAAGAAATAAGTACAAATAAAATAAAAAATTGAACCTCTTTATTCGCCTTTCGGACATCGCAAACTGTGCTTTTTACAAATGTGCCATTGTGAAATTAAATTCATGGCGGTATGACATGTGTGCTATTTCTTTAGGTCTATTGGTAAAATAATACTTTGACAGAAAATGTCATACCTGCGCAAAGTTCGTGTTCATTTGTTGGTTGACGTCTTGATTGACAGTCATCTGGTGGGCGAATTTTCTGTAATTTCTGCACGGAAGAAAAGGAAATAAGAAGAAACTTGTATTCAACCCCCATGCAAACACTTTTGGCTAACTATGTCTTGCCTTTTCAGTAACGTTGAATACGGAATTTTTAGACTAAAAAGGACAATTGCTTATTAACCAGAATATCAGCTGTAGTGATTCTACACATTCTAGCACAGTATAAACAAGGGTTTCATTACCTGTAGTATTCTGGGTTGATCAGCAGTCTGCCGCCAGGTGGCACTTACACCAAGATGGTCCATTCCTGGTCTCCGGAATGTGGTTAAATCGTCATAGTCAAATAGGCTTAAATCTTTTAATATAAAATGACAATAAAGATGGGAAAATACATATCTTAAGCATTAGAAACAAACATATTTTCTCTAAATGAAAGACCTGGGTTAAAATACACTTTCCTATCTTAATGAGACTGAGAGAATCCAATGACAACGACCACCAGTATTTGAATTACCATCGTTTTCCAAAATTAAATTATAATAGAAGCTTCAAAAATAAGTAACAATACTTAAAGAAAGAAAGAAAGAAGGAGTTAAGGAAAGAAAAATATCTTGGATAATAATAATAATAATAATAATAATAATAATAATAATAATTTAGTAAATCAAAAACAACAATTTCAAATAAAAGCTATATTTTTTCTTGTTTACCTAGCGTATTGGGCAGGCAGATCTTCCTCACGTAGGGACTGAACGAGACTCTTTCTGCCAGATACCACAGAGCAATGTTGTAACCAGGGGCAGCACTCGTCTGGTTCTGGTCGTATGTGTGAACGTGTAATACTTCAACTTTATGTGAACCTAAGAGAAATTAAAGACAGACTTCTGCTGAGAAACCGAGAACAAAAATTCATAACGAACGCATTATCTGAAAAGCAAGGAAATGCATTATTATTGGATTTAATACATGTCGGGTAAAAACGAAATGAGGACCGAAAGCATGTTTTTGAATAAGCTTAAACAACATAATGGATATATTCAATAAAAGCCACTTAATAATCAGCAGTTAAACAGATTTTCTTTATATTGCTAGTTTCACTTATTTTGAACTATCAAAACAAATTACCTATTTTCACGTACGCCTTCCCCACCGCTCGCCCTTCCAGACAACTGGCGCTGCTGAGTACCCAGTACTCGTCCACCAGCGTCCCCGTGCACACAAACGGGATCTGAAACCATTAACATTCCAAAAACATGCATATATTCACCGTGAAGGTCGGCCATTTGGTGATTCATAACTGATAGAGCGTCAGTATATCGCCTTATAAGGGTTATAATGATAATAACAATAAAATATGTATAATAATAAAAATAAATTAAATCGAAAAAAAGAGAGTTTTAGGTTGATTTTGTACAAAAAGCATAGCTTTCATAAAGCCAAAACATTATAACACTGCATAACACTATGCAGTACAGAAATACAAGCAATGTATTAGGCTTGTCAATTTGTAAACTGGTTGGTTATCAATAAATACCAATGAGGATTGAATAGAAAAGGAACTAAAAGTGTATCAAAATAGAAGAATTAAAATAAACAAATTGTTTCAACACAAAATGTTAAAAAAAGGGTCATAATTATGTGCAAATTAGGGCTCGTTTGAGAATTACTATGCCCAGCTTACCATACCTGATTTCTCTCTATATGCTCCGTCTCGCTGGAGAATATGCCAACCACCCACGGCCATGTCTGTTCACTGGAACTCTCGCTGTGGTCAATCTTATATAAGTCAGTCTCTGCCATCGTTTTTCCACAGCTAGAGTAATCTGTGGACAATAAAACCATTAAACACGACAAAATTAAATATTTATCTAGATTCGATAACGCGTTAATTAAATAAAATTCTGATAGTCAAAATGATGGGCAAGATGGGCAAGACTTAAAATGATCAAAATAGCATGTCTTAAATAGAAATGCCTCCCTTACAAACGGATACACATTTACCTACCAATGTTCATATTATTCATTGCGTCCCTCAGAGTCCGAAGTTCAAAATAATCTCTCAAAATAAACACATTGTTTTCTGTCGGCCTGGACGCAAGTTGTCGTAAAGTCTGGTTGTGGGCAGATGCCGTAAACCCAAAAGTGATAATGCGTACGTCGTGTCGATTCTTGAGTTCCTCAGCTTTTTGTATATATTCATCGCCGAAAATGTGATTTCCTAAATAAAAGAAAAATGTGGTTATCAATTTCAAATAAAATAAATAACATGGTCATTCTTCTCATCTACTGCAGTAGAGAAAGACATGCTTTCTTTTTCAGAGGCGTATGACGCATTCAAAGTGTTACGTATCGAGGACAACGCACATTAAAAACTACTATTGTATAGTCTTCATCATGGCATATCTTTAACTTAGAATGCATTGAATATTATAATTGCAATTAAATATAACAAAGTTATGGGTTTACCGTCAGTAAAGAAAATCACTGTTTTAGTAGAATTGGCAGACCCTCGTTTCTTAACCGCCTTTGGAATCATCACGTCACTTAGGTATCCAAGGGCAACGTCGACGCCAACACCGTCATTTCCTACAGGTTAGAAGATAATGGCGTTATAAAATTTATTGTCTGAATAAAGGCAACGATGGTAGTTTTACCAGTTGTTATTTCAAAAAAAAAAAAAAATTAACTTGAAAAATAATTAAGCGATGAAAACCTGTATCCAAAGAAGTGAGAATAACGGAGTTTACATGTATACAATAGTTAACGTCTTCATTAGATTTTTGTATAAAAGCTTCGTCTTCAGAAGTTCGCTGCAAACGAAAACCCTCACCTGTATACAAAATGTTATCCAAAGCATCAAGCATCTCCTGTTCACTTGAATGATCGTAGCTATGAAAGCCGCGTTCTTTCTCTAGTGCCGGGGTTGTAAAGTCAACGTCTAGGGTTATGGCACCAAACTGGGTCCCGGATGACTGAGATGATACCCCAAACTGGATCAGAAAATTGTGATAAATCGATCAGTCGAAACACAAGAAATTGCTTTCTTCTGTCTATGATGGTGTTTTTTATATTTGTATTATGATCAAAACGCCATTGCATATTAACAATAAATTAAACGTGGTTTACTTTAAGCAGCGTAAAAAGGGTGACTAGGCCCAAACGCGCATGGTTTTTTAATTAAATATAAGTTTGGTTATTCAGCACTATTCTCTATTTTCCATCCATTAAACTACTCCGAAATCAGGTTAAAACGTGACCATATAATATACCTCATAAATAACATGCTTTGCAAATTCCAAACCACGACCAAAAGAAACGTTCCCAATGAAACGCGTGGAGTCGAATATTAAGAAGACGTCTAGACCATTGGACGCCAAACGGTCTCCGTCCTGTCTCGCCACTGCCGTTTTACTCGATGAAGAGGAAAGAGACAGCGCATCAGTGACTTGTTTTAGCCGTTTGGCGATTTCTGCAGTATCTTCAAATGTTTCTGGGTCTGACATCAAATGATGAATAAAGAAATTTTGTTATTGAAAAATCTTGGCCGCTTAGCTAACAGTGAAATGAATTGCGTTCTCAGAAAAAAAAACTTAAATGCCGTATAAACCTTTTGTTGGGTTTTTAAATGAATAATATAATTTAACTTACGGATTTTCCAAACTGGCATTTTTACCACTATATGAAAGTGAAATCAAGCTATTCACTATTCTAACAAAATATTTCATACATTTCATACATTATACAGCACCTGGACAACACAAATGAACACAGCGATGATCTACCTTCACAACGAGGCTGGTCACCTGACCATTCCCCAGTGGAGAGACACTTTCTTTCCTCCGACCCGAGAAGAACGTGTCCAGGTTTGCAGCTAAATCGTACAGAATCGCCCACATTGTAGCCGTGGCCATTCTTGTAACCGTTCAGTGGAACAACGGGAACTGGACAATGGGTATCTAAAAGGCAAGGAACCATTCTAGAGACAGTATTTACAATAGAGACAAAAAAATACTACCTGGAAATAAATGTCATCTTTTTTATTTTTACATGTAGGCCTACAGTATGCACTCTATATCTTGAATCTTATTTCAGACAAAGTTGAACAAGAACAAGAAAAGAACACATACATGGTTTGCAGTAACAAATGAAGATAAAAATAAAAATTTAAAAAATGCAAACAAAAAGTACGTCAACGTACTCCCCGTATCACATGTGGCAGTGGTGCCGCTCCACCTGCCGTTAGCCTGACACGTTCTCATCACGGAGCCCAGGTGCCGGAACCCGCTGAAGCAAGTAAACAGCACGCTACCTCCCAGGTGGAACGCACTGCCAATTCTACGTCCATTCTCTGGCCATCGTGGGTCCGGACACCGTACAGCTGAATGGTGAATGTGTAATTAGTCTTTAAAATCTGTATAATAAAAGCACTTGTTCTCTGCCTACCTTTATTTTTATTTATCTTTATATTCTTGAATTCAAACTACATGACATAATGTACACGTATGTAAAGATAGTTTGGCTGGTTGCCCTTATCATGCTGAAAATTTATACTATATGGAGTAAGACCTACATTGACAAAATATATTGTGCATATTGTCCGAAATCAATTTAATTATCCGATATCGGCAACTGTAACTTTTTTTAAATTGAAGCACCATAATGGTGAAATCGTGAGTATTTGTTATAATTCTATATATCAATTATAATTAAATCATTTTCACATAAAAAGGTTTTGAAGTACTAATCTTACGTCTACAGGCCGGTTCCCACCCACTCCAGCCCTCGTAAAACACGGAACACTCCCTGCTGCTGGGGCCGAAGATTTTAAAGCCGTGAGCACAGCGGTAGTGGACGATGTCGCCGGCCTGGAATGTGGGGCGGTCTTCCTCCAGGATGACACCGTCATATGGGGCTAGTGGCTGAGGACAGGTCCAGACTGGAATAAAATATCACAACTGCGGTGAAAATTTTAGCCTTTATTGTTATCCTTATTATTACCCTTTTGGCTAGCCACCGAATAAACTTAAGATATTTTTTATTTCTCCTTAAGCATATAACCAAATAACGAAGAATGAGCTTTGGACATATATATATATATATATATATATATAGAGAGAGAGAGAGAGAGAGAGAGAGAGGAGAGAGAGAGAGAGAGAGAGAGAGAGCTGGTGGAAAACGATTTTGTTTTGTCAAAAATTGTATATACATGTATAGCATTTAATATACTGATTTTGTTCAATGTAAGAGGCTGATCAAATAATAAATTTGAGTCAAAACTGTATAAATAGATATGAGTATCGTCTTCTTACCTAAACAAGTGTGATATTTGAGCATATCATCCCACAATCCACTTTTAAGACATGTAAACTCCACATTTTCCTCAAAAGTTGCGAAATAATACCCACGATTACAAGCATACTTCAGTGTTGATCCGGGTTGATAGATGCCGCCATGGGCATCGGGAACTTTTCTGCCGTTTTCTAACTCTCCAGGCTCTTCACAATATATCGGGGCTGGAATATAAACGTCATATTTTCAAATATTTTAGGAAATGGAAAGAAAGCCCGAATGCAATAAGGTCACTTTGTGACAGTCTAAAACCAATATAGGCCTATAGTATAGTCATCTATGTTGTTTACAATAAAGAATGATAGTGTGCTGCGACAATTTCCTCTAAATTTGTAATAAAAAGGTAACAGAAACAGACCCCACAATTCATGGAATCAATTAAAAGAAGCCTGCGTTGATATACTGTATATGTATTTATCGAGGACTGGCAGGTCCACTCACACCCCTTAGTCACCTGTGTCTCTCAGCAACTTCAATCTTAGATTTACCTGTGCACTTGGGCGGGGCTTGGTCCCAGTGTCCCCTGCCGACACACTTGATCTCCCCAGGTCCGGCCATCTCGTACCCTGAGTGGCACTCAAAGTGCAGCCTGCTTCCCATCACACAACACGACCCGTACCGCTCGCCGTTAGCGATCTCCCCTGGGTCCACGCATGTGGGCTGAACTGTGGCGTATAGAATATACTTATTTGTTATTTTGGCACGTTTTTCAAATATCTTATTTATTTATTTATTTAATTTTTCAAATATAGGAAGCATTAGCAATTCACTGCCTGAGAAATTAAAAAAAAAACTTGAATTAAAAAAAAGACGCTTTTTTGGAAAACAAATAAAAAATACATATTTTTATGACTCTAAACTTCTCCAGTGCATTAATCTAATTGCTTAATGCCGCCTATCTCTTTGTTTCCAGAAACATTACTTACTGATACACGTTGGGTCTGAATGGCTCCATTTGAAATTCCTTCTGCATCTCCTTATTCTCCTCCCTTGGAGCACGTACCCCTCGTCGCACTTATAGATCAGCCTGCTCTTACGACCACGTCCCTCAATGCGGAATTGGCCATGCTGTATACTTTTTGGTGGAGGACACACGTTGCCTGGAGAAGATGCAATACAGTGTGCAAATGCGCTGTATCACAACTAACACAATCGTATTGACGAACAATTAGAAAAGAAAGCACTATTTACTCGTGGCTCCAAGTTTTCCTCAGCGCGTTTCTTTCCTGTAGATTGTTTGCAGCAGGGAGAATAAAGACAAAAAAAGGAACAAGATATTATAGAAATAAGAAAATAAAAATACAACCCATCCCTTTACTTTGAAGGAAAGAAATACCGATTTCGCCTATTACTTCCAAAATGAATGACCTATATTTTCGTTACTAAATGCCAAATGTTGTTTAATTTGTGATTTTATTCCGTGTTTAATGAGTTGTGAAAGTAATCGCCTGCAGTCAGTTTTGATGGGATGGGTTATATAGTGGAGTATTCTCCGTCTTCGTCACAGGGCCAGTACGCACTGGTAAGACCTCTGTTTTGGAAATCACTCTTCCTGCAGAGAGACTGGACATATGAAGAACATCAATTCAAGATCCTGCCATAAATTAAAGAATCTGTCAAACTGCCAACGGCGTATGATTTAGTAAGTCGCGCAAGGTACGATAAAAAAGGAACAAGGAAAATAAAGAGTGACATGCATACCCCGTCTATGCGTGGAACTTCATCCCTCCCTGCATTTGCTTTTGTGGGCGCTTTTTTGTGTGATCAGATGCATTTGTGCATGTATGTACGTACATGTATGTGTATCCTCTACCTGGGCCACAGATTAAACATGTGCATTTTTTCTTGAACGCAAGAATCGTAGCATGAATAGAATAAGCCAGAGACTTATCTATGAATATCTAGTGAAAAATCAATCTGTGGCCCTGGTAGAGAGCAACGAGTGCTCGTGGATTCATTAGTATGGATCAGCGTGTACACGTTTGTGCATAAGTGCCAGTAAGTATACATTAGAGCACGAGAGCGTGCCAGACCCTCACCCTCGCACCACGGGTCCACACCACTCCAAGTCCCGTTCATCATACACTGCCGGTAAGGCGTGCCTCTCAGCTGCAGCCCGCCCTCACATTCGAACTTCACCACTGTGCCTGGTGCGAAATCTTTTATCTCCATCTGGGAGTGAACGTGCCCGAAAAGATGCACGATGATATCAAACCTGCTGCCTGGATTTCGTCTTGGTATGGGGCAATTTTCTGAAAAATACATCATTTGATTTTATTAAAGAATCATGTTGCCGTCTCTCTCTCTCTCTCTCTCTCTCTCTCTCACACACACACACACACACACACACGCACACACATTTGTTTTTCGTTGCTGGTGCCATCCTTTTTTATTCCTTTACACTTGCAATCGAAGAAAAATATTATAGAGTCCATAGCTTGCAAAATTATCGATTGAGATCATGAGATGGGTCGTATTCTTCTTATTAAAAAAAGCATTAATTACGGTTATATGATTCGCTTGAAAATTCAGATTTATCTGTTAGAAGATGCGCTACACAGCATTGGTTTGAAAGTAAGTTAAAAGGTGACGTTACGTTGTCACGTAGCACAAAAGGAAAAGTATCGGAAACGTCTTTTAAATGGAGAATTTCAAATCAGTTCGTCAGAGTCTTCATATTTATTTATACCATCTTTGGAGAAGTCTTCGCATCATTAGATGCACTTGTACAGTTAATGTCTGCCTCATGAATCAACATTTAAAACAAATTTAGCGTATTACTCTATTTCCAACATTTGAAAAGGAACTTCAATGTCTTATTTCTGCGTAGTTCAAGCAGCACTTTCTCACACCACTTCATCCACGCCATCCCAATCATGCTAGTTCAGTTTGATATCTGCATTTCCGCATGTATCACTGCTGAGTGCCAAGCACGTGTGGGAACACGCAAGGTCGTCACTACTGGCAAAACAGGACTACAGCTTCTAAAATCGGTCTTAAGGCTGATTCAGATTAACAGATTGACACGCCTCCGGTCCCCTTGTTTACCACGTGCTCTAAAAATAAATCAGATTTTTTTTTGTATTCTACCTAGCGCCAGGAGGAGGTGTGTCAATCTGATTGCATTCAGCGAGAGTCCTTGTGGAGTTGGATCGAAATTTCATTGGGAATGAGCCCTAAAGTCGTTAGCGGACGCCGAGATTACAGTAGCATCCCATTACACAACAATCATTCAATCCCCGGTTAAGTTAATTTGTCATCGTATTACTATGCTCTGTAGTATTGAAATTCTTAACAGATTTCTATTTGAAAAAAGTTCCGGTTTGAACGAAGCTTAATAAGTTCTTACAAGCAGCTGCAAGAAATGCCATCTCAGCCCCATGCTGGGGGCGGCTTTTTAAAACAAATTAGATTAAGACTGCAAACTCACGAAAGAAGCGTAATTTGTTCGCCGTCTTTCCAAGCACTTGTGTTACACTATACATGTTTTCGCGCTGAGCAGATGTGAAGCAGGCATCTCACTTCAACGCCCCTGCCTTTTTATAACTTGTCATATACAATGAAAAAATAATTGTGAATGCGCTTTCACGTGCTACCCTGCCCTCCTTTTCGGCTTTTGCACAAATCTGACAAAAGTAAACGGGAAACGTTTTTATCACGTATCAATTTTAAGGAATAGACCCGCAAACGACCGTTAATCAAGCTGCTCCTGAAGTCGAACCCTCTCACCACCACCTCCACCGCCTACGTTATCAAGAAGCCTTTTTCGAACTCATAAATTATTTTAACAGACAGTGCGTGTTTTTTGTATATGAACCCGACTAAATCTGCGAGATCTCTTGGGACTGTTTTAAATTTCAAAAGTATCTCTTTATACACAGCTCTCACCCCCACAACCTTTTTCGACCAAGTCAATCATAAACGCAGGAAATGTGTGGGAGTGTATGTGTGTGTGTGTGTGGGGGGGGGGGGGATCCCCAGCCCCGTCGTTATTTTTTTTCTCTTTTTTTCTGTTTCCTATGCGCTTCATACAGAGAACGCAGTGTTGGTGATTGTTAGAACCAAGGCCACTAATTAGTAAAGGAGACGCTTATCATCTTATATTCTCAATAAATAAGTTTTTCATGTACAGAAAGGCTTCCTCTTTGAACCCATCCCAACATCTCCCACTTCTATCTTTTCTTCTAAGAGTGAAAAGACGCATAATATATTATATAAATTACATCTGTATTTATTACTATCAAACGTTCTTACCCGCCTTGGTAGACGTCAACACTCCGAAAGCCGCAATCACCAGGCACAGAGCGTTCCGTCCAGTTAGCAGCGGTTGTCCCATCTTAATTGTCGGTCCTCTTAGCACTGGGGGTAGCAGGAAACTGAAGGTTCCTTCTGACTGTGCGCCTGCCTAGTCAACCACACTTAAGATCACTGCGGGCAAAGTTTAGTCTCTCAAACGTAGACCAAAGTGTATTTTGCTTTTTAAAGTCAAGTGCGTCTTTTTTTTCTCTCTGATTGAGGACCCTCGGTAGCTAAGTATCAAATATTAAGCTATATCGGATTAAGTGCCAACAATATCATATACCCCCAAAATAAAAATTTGAAAAAAAAAACATTTATAAACATGCCATTCGTCTTTTGATAGATTAATATGATTTAAAGCCAAAACAACTGTTATGTGAATTTTGCGTCAAAAAAGGAACGGGCATGCCAGACAGCAGAAAAATCTAACGTTAAGTCGGTTTATGTGACTCGTAATTCACAATTGTTTTTGCCACAATACGTAAGTTAAACGTTTATGTTGGTTGCATACTTACAGTTGTTTTGGAAGCAAATTCCCTTTCTGTCGTTCCTAGTTTTAGTACTTAGTAACAAACATGCTAAACCTTGCTGAAAACTCTGCATCTATGACTCACGCATCTTTCAAAACGCGCTCTCTGAATATCTGCGGTTTTACATAAAAACAGCGTCTTTTCCGATCTCTAGATAATTTCCCTACCAGATCTCTTCTCAGCTTAGGCAAACGGCGTTGAAGGAAAGGAACGAACACACTAAGACTAGATTTCTAACAGCAAATTTTGGTTGTGGTTAACCAAATGTCTTGATGTAATCCCCCCTGCCTTAACCAAAGCCAGAACCAGCGAGCTCAACTACTTGCAGGAATATAATAACAAACGCGCCCTGAGAGCATATACATACAATTGTGTCCCTAAGCAGAACAAGAAGCCACAGTGCGGAGAGAAAGGAAACACTTGGGAATCTACGGAGAGATTTCTATATATATCTGCGTCCAGTCTTCGGTTGTTAACAAGCGTGGAGTTCCTTTGAACTTGGGAAGTTTTACAGCTCCAAATGAAGACCGATATTTGTAAAAAAAAAAAAAAAAAAAAAAAAGACTTAAGTATGCTATGTTTTTACAGCACTAATGGATAGCGGCACATGTAAAAAGGTTAAGAATGGTCACAGAAAAGTCAGAATGATCCATCTCAGAAAATGAATTCATTCGTGGTTCCCATACTTCAATGAAATTTGGCATGACTATGCTTTTTTTTTTCGAACAAGTAAAACTTTATTACTTTGTTTTTGAACGTCTTTACATGGCGGCATGGGATACATGCCTAATTTCAGTCAGCATGAGATGTTCTTTTTATTACTAATATATTTCCGTCATCATCTGGTAGAACATAGGTCGGTCTTCATAAAAAAAAAGAAAGCAAAACAAAATCTGAACCAGATGCGGTCTTGGCGCAACCGATGCATCTCAACTAACACAGCGAGAAAATCCGACCCGGAACAGAAATGTTAAATCCTTTCTTACATTCCCCCCGATGTTTTAATAATTCCTCATAAATATCTTCTTTCTTAGTGTCAGTTTAATTTACGCTGCCCTATGCAATTTCCATGTGCGGAAGAACTATATAAAACGAGGTATCAAATTAGTTCTTCCAAAATTACTTAATATAGCATATATTTTTTGACATGTAGAGAGAAAGTCCTTTACCCAATCTATGGTTTAAACAACTTTAAATTTTACAGTAATTTTATACATAACCGGTACGTACTTCAATGCTACACCATGCAGGGCTTTTTACATTTGCCCTTTAAATAAAGGAAAAAACAAAATTGAGATTTTTTTTTACAAATTTTTATTCACACAAAATGGAAGAAAATAGAAGGGGCAGAGTTGATGCCAATATGACTCCGATAATTGATGGATGTGGTCCAATTACAATGCTGCCTTTGAAGGTAAATCGTAAATTCTCTTAAATCTCCATTCCCAGTTGTTCCGCTATCGTGATGTACTCATTGTCCCACAATTTGTTGTTCTCAAGGAGATTCAAATTCAAACTTTTTCTGCTTCAAATGCCTCACTCTATTCATTCAACTGAACAAGATTTCCAAGAGAAAATGAGATCATTGGATGAATGGTGTCAAGTACACGAAAACTCAAACCCCTAGCTACAAGAATGTTGAAATTCTACCACATTAGATAATATCCCGGGTTGATTTTTTCTTTCGTGTTATGAAACACTGCGCCAGATTAAATAGCATAATAAATAAGGTTGAGTTATCTTACAAAGGATGCCGAAAATCCGGGAATGACGATCTTTTAAAATCTTGTTGATCCACAACATAGACTTAAAGCTCCATTTTTAACGTATTTTTTCTATAAAAGAGGTATATCAAATATTGATACTTGTACAATGTCTCTTATGCTACAAAAGTCTGTTGGCTCCAATAAAGAAGTCTACTTCTTCTTGGGCTTCTTTGCTTTCTTGGCTGCTTTCTCTGAAAAGCAATGACGGAAGTATGTAAGACAGAGTAAATATCTACACGTATAAAAAAATCAAGCATACAGTATTCATTTGAGCCACATAGGTTAGGTGCATAAAAACTCCATTGTGACTTTCCTTACGGTGTGGCACAGTAGTATTTTGACAAATATGTATTCTCTTTAAAAGCCTCTTATCAAATAAACCAAAGACTACTCACTTGTAACCTTTCCTGACTTCTTCTTTGCTGGTGCCTTCCTCTTAGGAGCCTTGGCTTTGGCTGAAAATGTGACAGTAGTGTCAGATCTATTTGAACATATGATTTTAAGCCAAAGTTTTTTAGTCATTTAGTTATTATTGTCCCTAAACAATAACTGAACTTACTGTATCACATATATAGAGAGAGTGCCTAGGGTCTATTCACCTCGGAAAAAAACGATTATCAACAGTATTGAGATAGATTGAAAAGTATCAAAACATTCCACATGGTTTATAAAGACGGATCTTAAAATATGGAAACACGAATACAGGTTGTATGTTGAATGCCCTCCCTTTAAGATGAAAAACTGTCTGGACCATACAAAATAGAATTTCGCTATAGATGAGCTTTCCTCTCTCATGGAATCCATATTAAAGATTTTGAACTGTCAATGTTTTTGAAAACCTACCTGCACTGTCTCCTGCAGGCTTCTTTGCTGCTGCCTTTCTTGCTTTGGCCATTTTCACTGATTAGAGATTGAATCTGATTTCTGAAAATAAAAAAAAGATAAAATATTACTAAATCTTTATGATTAACTCGTGTAAAACTGACCTCGAAGAAATGTATCCATACTTGAGTTTTAAAATCATTCGGACTTGAAATCCTTCTTCGTGTATTTCCAAGCCACCGACTTGAGACCAGAAGGCCCTTAAAAGATTTACAAGTAGATATACAAAAACTATTAATAAAAAAGAAACCTAATCCTTTCATATATGCCCTAAGTTTCTCAGGACAGTGCGTGACCTGCTTTGACTTTACAACGTAAACACACACAGCTAATGTGTAAATAGGTCGCCGTACTCTTTGTATCGGGAGATCCGCTCAGGTCGCGTAAAGTGACCGAGGTTGTCAACCTCGACAAACCCTTAGTAGACAATGGTCATGAGCTAAACCGATCCATAATTCCTAATTCATTATTTCTCTAACCTCTCCACGGCAGTGTCGTCTACGATACAATTATCGACCACTGCTGCGGAGAAAAAAATCCAATTTGTAATGTGCCTGACATACTTCACAGCAGATCAGCTGTTGTGAAAATCGATGGTTGGAACTAAATATGCATGTATTTCGTTAATGCCCCCTCCCCCATCTTTTTGTAACTTGCATGCGGTCTGTGTTAAAACAAGACAGCACCGTGGTTATGTTCAGATTCCAGAAAAATAGCGGTAAACGGTTTGACAAGGATAAAACCCCGCCATAACCAACAGCCCGCATAAATGTTGCATATTTTCAAAACAACCCTTGTTGCGCACTATTTCTCCTCTGCGCGCAGAAAACGAAACCAAGTCCAACCGTACCTCGGTCGTGATGTAACGTTCCGACTCGCTGATTCTCTAAATTTGACAAGATAAGAAAATCGTCCGTACTTACTTTCCGCTGAGGTTGAAATCTTTAAACTCAACTGCCAGGTGACGCTACAAACCGACGCTAAATTTGTAGCTGCCCTTTGTCCTAAGGTAAACAAACAAAACCGCGTGGATTAAGGGCCAATCATATTCAAGCTAACAATCATTCATACACAGTAAACCAATCAAATGTGTTTTAACAAATTCCGGGTTCTTATTTCCTAAACTGATTCTTTCGTGGCCTGTTTTATTGGCTACGTAAAATAGGTGGGGGAAAATATGACGTATTTTCTTGGGAGATTTGAATGAGATAATTTTCTATTTGCATAATACCAAGTCGTTTTTATTCAAAAATAAACGGAGGAGTTTTTTCCATATAATTCTGTTAAAGAAAAGAGTGATTTTTTTGGATTTTTCTGGGACTTATTAGAAGAAATAGATTTTGGAGAAGTGTGTTTGACATCACTGGTGCCATTTGCTTGTTGTCTGACGATTACACTGAACCCCTCCTGACCTTGTAAAGTGACGTCAATTTAGGACAATAACTTGGCCCCAGTTCAAATTTACAATAGTTAATTCAGCGACCAAATCGTCTACTAGCAACTGAAATTTTCAAATGGAGCGTTGGCAAGGACGCGCTCGTTTCTGTTACCTGTGCGACTTTGTTTACTTTGGTGTTGAGAAAAATGCAGGTGTAGAATTTCAAAAACAACGAACTGCAATTAAAAAACCCCGACACTTCAGCAGCTTGGCCGGCTTGGCAGTGTGCATGTAAAAAAATTCCGTACTTGCTGCGAATTTTGCTGTTTTCAAAATATTTCCCGTACGATGAATCATGATAAAAACATTTCGAAATATAATATATAGGTCAAACTCAATATCAGCATACAGGCACAAGTGCATGCATGTTGTAAATTCCAATCATCGGCTACATCAAAGCCATGTTTCATACTGGTACTAGTAATGTGTCTAAAATTACAAAGAATACACATATATATACCACAGAATACACATACATGTATACCACTCATGCAGTGGAATTATTAAGCCGCTTCGTAAAATATTTTACTGATGTTATGGCATTGACTTGGCGGTCTGATACACATGTAAGCCTGACGGACTGCATGTGTAGATCATGGCATTTAATTAAAAGATATATGCAGGTAAATTATAACGTTTATCTGGTCCATGTCAAGGTGTTGTCCGTGACGGAGTGTACTTTTTGTCTCGCTAAATTCTGTTACATCGATGTAACGCTCAATGCAACGGTGATGCAATATATGTCTCTATAGTCCAAACACACGATGCTGGGATGAAGTGTTTAGGGGTTTCACCTTTATTGTTTCTCTAATTCATAGATTCATAGATGGACCTGCTTCTGTGCCGTTATTTCTCTGTTTCCACATGTACTAACATTGCCTACCTTTACCTCTACCTTAAGGTATACTGCCCCACACTTACGTAATGTGGGCATTTTATTGGTCTTTATTGAATGAAACTTCGACTACCGGTACCTCACTTTTATCGTGAGAGGGCCAATGCTAAAGAGGCTCCAACGCTGCGATTTTTTATTTATAATCGGAGTTGTAAATCCGGTCAAGAAGTCGTAAACTTCTTGATCCCATAAAAATTCTTCGTATTTAAGGATAACTTATTTAAATGGTTTTATTAGACCTTAACGGTAAGGAATTCGAGGTGCCCCTTCGTGATTGAAATGTACTAATTTTCAGCTTGATATATAAAGACTGCGGTAGTCCGACAAATCCTCATCTAAGTACCAGCCTTTATAACGCTTTTTAACGCTATTTTGACAATGGCATATTCAGATTATTAATTTTATTTTTTGAAAATTTGGATTTAAGGCATCCATGTACCATAAGTAATATCCTGTAGAGGTACTCGGGCATATTTTGTTGAATTGAAGGTGGTTTTTTATTTTCCTTCTAAAATAAAGTCAAATTTATATCCCGGTGCATTTTTAATCCTCCCGAATAAGCTCCAAGACCAAACACAAATACACGTATGACGATATTTTCAATTACGTTCACCACGTTTGATGCTGAACGATAATAGTAAATATACAAGGGTTGCAGTTATCTGGCTATTAATACTGTCCCTGCAGCCCCTTTTCACAGAAATTAAAAACTTTGAGTGGCTTTATAACAGAACAATAGGAGGCACTGCAGCAGCCAAGACAGAAAAATTCATGCACACACCGTGCTGTTTTTCTAATAAGATGTCAATATTTCGGAACATTTTTTTCCAGTGCAAATATGAAGCTGCACAAACAAAAAGAACAAAACAACAATCAGCAGTTTATTGTGTACATTGCCAAACCAACTTGTTACTAATTGTAATTCTACGGTAGGTGAAAAAGCTTTTCAAACCTCTGTCACGGCGTTAGGCATTTACAGAGATACAGGAAGAATATTTGACTCTTATGTCTGCGCATTTGCTCACCGAAAGGAAAGCCAGGAAAGGAACTTTTATGGAAGACGTCATTCTGTGATTATTAATCGGATATTAACCTACTCCTTCCTTCACTTTTTCTACCACCGTGTCTGTAGCTGACGTACCGATTACGTACATGTGGAAACAAGGAAATCAGAACGCTATAATATTTCAAATTCAAAATATAATGAATAAGCCTACATGTATCAAGTAGCTAACATTGCAATCTTATTTTAAACCTAGGTTTGCAATCACTCACCCACACACATATTCACACACGTGCACACGAACACTGCGCACACAAAACTAAAAAAAAAAATCTCATGCAAATACACGTGCAAGCTGACACGCACAACGTGTACTTACATGAGCCGGTGAACCAGTTACGTCATGGGCTGATTTTATCTTCAACGGGATAAAAACCGATGGTTAAACTTGACCGCATTATGGTCATCATGTTATACAAGTACAACTCTACTGGTCAATACATAAATGCGTGCGTTAATTTTGCTTGCCAGCCGTTTTTCTTTTGACATTATATTTTTGATAATTTAAAGCGAAAGCAATGTTTTCAGTGTTGTTAATGTCCCAACATTCTGGTACTGAAAAATAATGACTTTTGAAAAGGGGACTACAATCTACCATTATATTCCTGCCAGTCCTACAGGTAGATTGTATAATCTTTTTATTCTATAGACTATCTTTAAGATACATTCTATATTTTGTCTTCTTTGAGACAGCCGGTCTACATTTGTGTTTTTTCGGCGAAAAAGTACACACACACACACACACACACACACACACACACACACGTTTCTTACTAGCTACATTGTATCAACATTTCAATCTGTACAGTTATGACGTTATGTACTGAGGATAAATGTTTATTAATTTTGTCAGTTAAAAATATATAAATCCGAAAAAATACTTATTCTACCGATTATTTTGTTCATATAGAAAGTCAACCCCTTCTTAATTCTATATTATGTGCTGGTAGCTTGGGTCCATGGACCTATGGGAGTTTCATTCGTACTGTACATGTACTGTCCAAAGGAACATGTAATTACCCGGGGGAGGGAGGGTAGTGTTCCGAAATCCCTTCATTTGCCCTTACTTATTTCTCGTTTTGCTATCCTCATTCAAATTTAAACTATTCGGAGAGGTAACTTTATAAATAATGTAGAAGAATGACACTCGATTTCTTCCTATATTCCTTCCTAGTTTTTCTTGTTCTGAGAGAATCAAAAGCGTAATGAACACCATAGGGTTCATTCCCATTGAAACTATCCGTCTACATAGATCGATCCAACTCCGCAGGGAATACACTGTACGTTGAAAACAAGAGGAAGCGTGTTAATCTGTTAAACCGATTGCATTCAACAAGAGTCCCCACGGAGCTGGATCGATGTACGTAGACTGATAGTTTCAGTGGGAGTGAACCCTTGGTCATTCCCAGCCGCACAGTAGATCAATAACCTCACTACCCGGCACGCACGCAATACTAGTACTAGTAGATGTGGATGGGAGGGACACATGAATAGATGCGCTATTAAAGCCCTGGTCAATAATAATCCGGTGCACTGGAGGACTCTGCCATGGCAGTTACTGACCTTTTACAGCCCTTAACGTTCCTTTCAGAATGTGTAATGGTCATTTCGTTCCTCGATCAATACCGCTATTGCTTTCATACAAGAATTGTTGTACGCGCTGAAGAAGAAAATTTTATCCGTTGCACAGGTTATCACTGCATCTGATATGTACTATAGGTAGTCCCCTATTCTAACTCTCGTTCATAAAAAAACATAACGCGCTTCTTTTTACACAAATTACTACTGCTACATGTATTATGACAAGGGGTTTCACTACACCAGTTCGTTTTACGTCAAAAGACGGATTGCAAGACAAAAATGTACACAGCAAGATGAAAACACCTGTAACACAAACGGTAACGCTGGCTCTCAGTTAAAACGGATTTGATCCCCTTTGATTCTTTTATATCCTACAGCTTGTCTTAGATACTTAGCTACAGTGAAATGTTAGTCAAATACTTGCAACATATCCAGGGCCGTAGCCTGAGCAAAATGCCAGGGGGGCAGTAAGCGGACACGAGGGGGCGAAGCCCCTGAGGGGGAGGGGGTGTCCCCCTACCAGTGTGGAAAATTCTAAATCC